TTTGCTATAGATAACCTGAGGATATTTGGGATCATATAGACAAAATTACCTACCCAAATGTGGTCACCTGAGGATGTAGGTGTGTGGTCTAATTTTTATCTAAAGACATTTCTTTGGGTTGAAGGGCTTGGCCTCTTCACACAGACTCATGAGGTGTTTGGGGTACAGGTGGGAGTTTCATGACCTCAGAGCCTCCTGCAGAATTTGGCCTCCACTCCCTGTCTACCTCCCACACCCTGTCCACAACCTCACCCCAGATCTTTTTTTTTTTTTTTTTTTTTTTTTTTTTTTTTTTGTGAAACAGCCACTTCCTGTCACCAGGATAAGACAAATGTGCCCAAGACAGTTCGGAGGAACCTGAAGTAGAATTGCTGGTGCATGCGCCTCTGCCTCCCTAGTGCTGGGACTAAAGGTGTGTGCCACCACACCTGGCCTCTCACCCCAGATCTTTTGCAACAGCTTAAATTATTTCCCAGACCTGACCAGGAAGGTGTCTCCCCAAGTGGGAGTCCTATGTCTGCAGAAACCCAGAGTTGGGGCTGGAGAGCCTAAGCACCCCAGGGGTCTGCTACCAGCAGAGTGGGAAGGAGCATAGGCAAGAAGCAGGAGGAAATGGGTCACTGCCCATGGCTGGCAGGAGCAACTGCTGCGCCTGAGCTTTGACTCTGGGAAGAAGTCTTTGCTCTCTCCACCAGTGACCCACATGAACCCTCGTTCCCAATAAAGTGGGGCAATAAAGTTGGAAGGAAGGGCTGACTCCACAGCTGTGGGGTAAGAGGTCCTGGCAAGAGAAGAAAATCAGAAAGGCACACTGCTTTCACGCGGACAAAAGAAACAGAGGCGGAGATAGGAATCCAGGCCTTGACTAATTCCTTCTAAATGCTTGCATGCCCAAATTTCCCACCACTTTTTCTCTTTCCGTCTCCTGCTTTGTGTTTTAAACACTCTGTTCAAGGTGAGGTAAGGGTGACAACACGGAAAGTAGCTGCAGAGCCAAAGCAAGCCTGGAGCTTGGAATCATGGGAGTGGTGGGGCTCTTGGCAGAACCAAACTGTTGGCTGGATGAGTTCTGGAAACACCCACCACACTGGCTATGTCTTCTCAGCAAACACGAGTTTAACACGATTCCGTTATAACCTTCAGTGGTGACTTGGTGACCCTCTGGCCTTGGTCATGTCGTTTCTCCCAACACAGCCCCACTCTTCCTCTTCTCGGAGACCCTGGGTATCGTTTCCAGGTGGTCAGCAGAGGGCGATCTGGCTCTGGAGAATGACCCGGTCAAACTCCCGCCTTGTGCCGGGGCTGCTAATGACTTGCAGTTCCATCAACATAAAGCTGAACTCCACAAAGGAGCATTGTCACTGAGCATTTGCCTTTTCATTCTTGAAAGCTCCACAGCCTTGGCTAACCCCTTAGCCTCCCTCCTGCCTTCCTCACTACTCTCCTTTCTCTCCCAACCCAGGAAGCAGCAGAAACCGAACAAGGTCCACAGTGGAGAAAAACAAATCCCAAGGCCCTGCTGAGGGACACCACAGGAAAATAACCAAGCAGGCATTAACAGCTGCAGGAGTTTTTCTTTCTCCCCAACTCTCCTGGTTATAGCCTTCTGTTTCTGTGTCAGAGACAATGATGTGTACCCAACTTTAGCATGCATAACACCCCCCAACCCCACACCCTTACCCCCCCCCATACACACACACATACCGGGCAGAACTTGTTAAAACACAGCTTCCTGGCCTCACCCTGGGACTCTGATATAGCAGGCCTGGAGTGATGCCCAAGCATTTGCATTCTTAACTCTTCCCAGGTACTCTGATGGCCCAGTGGAGGAGTATCTGGAGCAGCGCCACTTTGTACAAATGCAGAGAATATAAATAGACCAGAATAGATTGTTAAAATCTGGGTCAGGGGCTTGCTGGGATAATGGAATGATAGGATGACCTCCCCCAGATCCTCTAGACTTCAGCCAAATGCTGTTCCCTTCCCCCTTGGAAAAAGAGCAGAGACAGTGTCAACAAAAGCATTGTTTGGAGGGGCTGAGCCCAGATAATAGGCTGCTTCTCCATTGACTATTCCTTTCATCCCCCTGTCAGGAGCACAATCAGCCTCTCTACCCCATCTGTATTAAAATGAAGAATTATTCCTAACCCCAGCTCTACTGGACAGCTAGAGCCCTGAATCTTAGTCTCCTATTTAGCACCCTCCAAATCCCAGAAACACCAGACAAAGGAGGCCTGTGGATGAGCTTTTCCCCTGCAGACACCTAAAAGCATTTCCACTGATTCAAAGAGAACTCTTCCTTCTGTTTATACACCAAAAGATAAAAGACAGAAAAGTGTTACTATGATGTGCATATTGAATACCAACTCCTATGTGCTCGAACTCATTCTCCAAAGTGATAGTATTAAGAAGAGGTACCTTGGACTGGAGAGCTGTTCAGAGGTTAAGAGGTTCAGAGGTTAAGGCATGGTGGTGCAAGTCTTTAATCCCCACATTCCGGAGGCAGAGGCAGGCAGATCTCTGTGAGTTCGAGGCCAGCCTGGTCTACTTCGTGAGTTCCAGGACAGCTGGGGCTATAGGACCCTGTCTCAAAAACACCAAAAAAAAAAAAAAAAAAGAAGACAGTGCTTCGGAGGAGGGGATGCTGGCCCATGCCTGTAAACCCCAGCACTGGGGTCTTGAGTTCCAGACTAGACAGGACTCCCTTGAAAGACCCTGTCTCAAAATAAAAACAAATAAAAATGAAAACAAACAGATGGTGCCTTTTGTTGTTGTTTGGTTGATTGTTTTTTTGTGGTGCTGGGTATCAAATCCCAGGATCTCAAAAATCTCAGCAAGCAAAACAAACAGATGGTGCCTTTTGTTGTTGTTTGGTTGATTGTTTTTTTGTGGTGCTGGGGATCAAATCCCAGGATCTCAAAAATCTCAGCAAGCACTCTACCACTGTACCAAGACGGGGCTCATAGGAGTTGGTTGGGTCATGAGGGAGAAACCCTTATAAACTGGCTGTGGAAGCGAACACTTGTAATCTCAGCACTTGGAGGTGGAGGTAGGAGGGTTAGAAGCTCAGGCTGTCTGAGCTGTCTCAGCTGGTAAAAGCCCTTGCTGCCTAAGCCTGAAAGCATGAGTTCAGTCCCCAGAACCCTTGATAGAAGGACAGAATCAGCTCCTGAAAGTTGGCCTCTGACCTCCAACACACACCGTGGTACAGGCACCTACACGCTCTCTCACACACAGAGAATAATAATAAAAATAACTTTAAGAAATAAAAGAGTTCAGCCTTGTCTAAAAAGAAGTTTGAGTTGAGATGGCTCAGTGGGTAAAGGTGCTTGCCACCAAGCCTGATGACCTGAGTTCAATCTCTGGGAACCACATGAGAGAAGGCAAAAACCCACTCTAGCAAGTTGTCCTTGTCTTCTGACTTCCACATCGGCTGTCTTCCCACCCCAATAAATTTAAAGCAAAACAAAAACACCTCAAAATTATCCAGTCCAAGGTCTTTTGTCCTCACATCTTGCTCTGACTAACATCGTGTAATCTCCCTATTCTTATGACATATACCAAAACCAGCATAATTCTTTTTGTTGTTGTTGTTGTTACTCAAATTTCTCCAGAAGGCATGACTTCCAAGTCAACAAATAACCTTTGAGTCCTTACTCTGCCCAGGTCTGTGTTAAATGCCGAGAGATGTTAAAGAGAAGTTACAGGCGACCACTGTTCTTCAGACAAGTCCTACGTGGAGCCCCAGCAGACCAAGGTCAAACTCAAAGTGGAGTCATATTCAGTAATGGAGTCAATATTCTAAAGTTCCACATCACCATTGCAAAACTATGCTAGTTTTTCTGACCTGAGAAGCTGGATTAAGACAAATGGACTGAGCAGGCCAATTTTAGTGGGTAGGATACTCGTGTGGTATCTGCCTCAGTCTTCACATAAGAAAAGTAACCTGAAATAAACTAATGCTAAACAGCTAAACAATCCTTTCTTTTTCAACTGTTTTTTTTTATTATTATTTTTATTTTATGTGTATGAGTATATTTGCCTGCATGTATGTAAGTGCACCCATGTCGTGCAAATGCCCATGGAGGTCAGTAGAGGGCATCAGATCTCCTGGAACTAGAGTTACAGATGGTTGTTAGTTGCTATGTGGTTGCTAGGAATCAAAATCCAGTCCTCTGCAACAGCAGCCGGTGCTGTTAACCTTGCAGCCATTTCTCTGGCCCTCTTTTTCTACTCTTCTATCCCACCTTGCAAAACAACCAAATGTCCAATTTGGTTTTTTGTTGCTGTTGTTGTTCTTTTGTTTTTGTTTTCGTCAGTCTTTCTCCCTATAAACTGAGCTGCTCAGCTTAGCCCAACGGAACATTGGTCTGTTTTATGGAGAAGTGTTGCACAATTCTAGAATGAAAGAAGAGCCAGTTAAGATAGTTAAATTAGGCCAAGCGTGGTGGCACATACCTTTAATGCCAACAACTAGGGAGACACAGGCAGGTGAATCTCTGTGAAATCAAGGCCAGCCTGGTCTACATAGCGAGTTCCAGATCAGCTGAGGCTACAGGGAGAGCCTATCTCAGAAAGACTGAAAAAAAAAAAAAAAACAGAAAAAACAAGTCTATTAATATATGTGCTCAAGGAAATCCTCTAGAATAGATCTCAAAGAAAATGTTTAAACTTTAGACTTAAGTTCTCTATCCTCAGGACTGGTGAGTTGACTCAGCAGTTAAGAGCACTGACTGCCCTTGTTAAGAGATTTTCAGCACACACAGCAACCGACAACTGTCCATAATTCCAGTTCTATGGGATCCAACACCTTTTTCTGATCTTGCAGGCATTGTACGACATGGATGCACTTAGATACATGCAGGCAATACACTCATACACATTAAAAAAAAAAAAGTAATTTTAAAAAATTCTCTGTCCTCTAAAATAAAGGAAGACAAGAAAAATATAAAGGGAGAAAAGATTAAATATGTGTCCAGAAGACTCAGGTTAAAGTACATGTGCTTGCTTTGTCAGCATATATACTAAAATTAGAACAATACAGAGATCAGCATGGCACTACGAAAGGGCCATTTGCAAATCCATGATATGTCCCATATTTTTGTCCCCTCAGAAGGGTAAAGCAGATAGACTAACACTACCATTCACAGTCAAGGGGGTCATAGGAGAAACCAGCACCACATCCTGAATTACACTTTCTTGCAAGCCAGGGGCTGCCCAGTGACTCTCCAGTGTTCCTGCTGCCCCAACCCTCTTGTGGCCTACACAGCTGTGTCCCTGTAGTTGACCTGGCGAAGCAAGACTATGGTTTCTACCTTTGATCAACCCACCTCTTCTCCCAAAGAATAGCCTCTTTAGTGTTACTTCATGTTCCCCCAACACACACACACACACACACACACACACACTTACTTGACCTTTGACCTCTGGTCCCCAGCCACTGAGTGAAGAAACTGGGTCCAACTGCAGGAGGAAATCTTTTTTACTTTTTGGTCTTTTTGAGACAGGATCTCCCTGTAGTCCCAGCTGGCCTGGAACTCACTATGCAGACCAGGTTGGCCTTGAACTCACAGAGATCCACTTGCCTCTGCCTCCCAAGTAGGAGGAAATCTTTTTTTAAAAAATATTTTATTGGAGCTGGAGAGATGGCTCAGTGGTTAAGAACACAGGTTGTTCTTGCAGAAGACCCGAGTTCAAATCCCAGCATCCACATGGCAGCTAACAACTGCCACCCATAACTCCAGTCCCAGGGGATCCGACAGCCTCTTCTGACCTCCGCGGGCATTGCATGACATGGGTGTACTTACCTACGTGCAGGCAATACACAAATACACATAAAAATAAATTAATTAAATCAAAATTTTATTTAGGGCCTAGAAAGATGGCTCAGCGGATAAGAACACAAATGTTCTTGCAGAAGACCTGAGTTCGAATCCCAGCACTAGATAGTGGCTGACAACCGTCTGTAACTCTAGTTCCAGGGGATCCAACAGCCTCTTCTGTGCTCTATGGGCAGGGCATTGCACGACATGGGTGCACGTACCTACATGCAGGCAATACATGCATATGCATAAAAAATAAAAAATAAAAAATTTAAAAAATTTTTAAATTTATTATTTTATGTATATGAGTGTATTGCCTGCATGTAGGTAAGTGCACCTGTGTCATGCAATACCCATGGAGGTCAGAAGAAAACACTGGATTCCAAAACACTGGAAGTGGAGTTACAGGTGGTTGTTACCTGCCAGGTAAGTGCTGGGAATCAAACCTCAGTCCTCTGCAAGATCATCTAGTGCCCTTAACTGCTGAGCCATCTCTCCAGCCCCCAGCAGGAGGAAATCTTGAGCCAGAAGCAATATGTCAGGGTCATGCTCATGCTAGCTGCAGCTGAAGTGACAAGTAGGCCCTCCAAATTTTCTCAGAGCCATTCCTGGTATCTTCCGCCCAGATTTCAAAGACAAGAATAAAACCTTTTCTGTGGGGTGAGGGAGCAAGTGCCTTTTTCATTGTTGAAGCGTAGCTCATCATTAATCTTTCTCTTTCTAGTGAAAAGAAGACCTTTAAAATGAAATGTTCTTGCTTAGAAGTAAATTCCTCTTACTCCTCTGTTTGTAGATCCTCAAAATAACTAGTTAAAATAATCAATATGCCAGAAAGATATGTTTGGGGGTGATAGGTTTTGATCTTCTACAGTCATATTTGGGGGTAGCATACTGAGTTCTGATACCCTCAAATAATCCATATTCTTTTTTTTTTTTTTTTAATAGCTATGTATGGATGTTTTGCCTGCATGGGTAAGTGCACCTGTGTATGCAATACCTGCAGAGGCCAAATACCTCCCCTAAAGCTGGAGTTACAGATGGTTGTGAGCCACCATGTGTATGCCGGGAACCAAATCAGGGTCCTCAGCAAGAACAGCCAGTGTTCTTAACTGCTGAGCCATCTCTCCAGCCTCAAAATAAAATAATCTATATTCTAATTGGAAAGAATGGCTAACAAGCAAGCCAGATGCGGTGGTCCACATTTGTAATTCCCACACTGGAAGGCTGAAGCAAGGAGATCATGAGTTTAACTGGCTTGGGCTACACTGTGAGACCTTTTAAAAAAAAAAAGAAAAAGAAAACAAAGCTGGGCGTCATGGTGCATGCCTATAATCCCAGTTCTTGAGACAGAGACAAGAGGCCCACATAGAGTTCAAGGCCAGCCTGGACTACATAGGAAGCTTCAGGTAGCCTGGGCTGCAGTGTAAGCCCCTGTTTCAAAATAAGCATACCTCAGAAAATAATCAAAGACTAACAAAAAAAATATGTAGTGAGAACAAATGTACTCACATGTAGTAAAAGCATGGTATTGGTAAAACAAAAACAAAACCAGAAAAACACCTTTAAGAACATCAAGGAAACAGGAAGGCATAGTGAAAAAGGGATTGCCCTGAGGTTTGCAGTGAATGTAAGTTAACTAGGGAGAGAAAAGGACAGGGGCAGCTTGTGCAGTGGCGCATTCCTGTAATCCAAGTACTAGGGAGTCGGAGGTGAGAGACACAGAAATTCAAGGTCATCTTCAGCTACAGAGAGAGTTTAGGATCAGGAAAAAAAAAAAAAAAAAAAAAAAAGGGACATGTTTGAGGTAGTCTTTTGAGTCTTGGAATACTTCACAAAGAGGATCATCAGTTCTGAGTGATCCTGAGGATCAAGCCACACAATGTCAGTAGTTAAAAAGTCAGGAACAGATGATGGCAACGGCAGCAGTGACATTGCAGTTTCAGACCCTTGGTAGTTAAAGGTTTCTTTCCTGGGACCTTGTGAGAGAACATAATATTGGTATTGGTGGCACATGCCTGAAATACAGCACTCAGAAGGCTGAAACAGGAGGTACTGCTTTGAGTTCAAAGCCAGCCGGGGTCTCTGTCTCAAACCACAACAAAAGAACATAGTAATTGAATACTGTGGGGTCTGCAAGATGGCTCCGTGTGCAAAAGTGCTTGCCATGTAAACTTGATGTTCAATACCCAGAACCCATGTAAAAAGCCAGACACAATGTCTCAAATCTGTAATCCCAGATCTCCTATGATGAGACAAAAGGTACAGGAGAATCACCCTGAAACTTGACAGAGGGTCACCTAGCCTGGGGTATATAGCACAAACATCAAGAGACCCTGACTCAACAAGATGGAAGAGGAGAACCAACTTCTGAAAGTTAGCCTCTAACTTCCACATGCACAGTATAACACACACACACACACACACACACAATAAATAAATAAATAAATAAATAAATAAATAAATAAATAAATAATTTTTTGAGCTGGCTGTAGTAGCACCAATTCTGGGCCAGCTAGCCTGGAGTGAAACAAAAAACAAGAGACCCTACTGCAACAAAGTAGAAGGAAAAAACCGACTTCTAAAAGTTGTCCTCTGAGCTCTGCATGAGTGCTGTAGCACGTGTGTACCGCACTAACACACAGTCACACACATACATGCAATAATAAATGGAATTTTAAAAGAAAGCTGTATTCTTTTTAACTCATCAAAGTATTGCTGTCAAATGTAAAAGAGTAGTTCTTTTAAAGGAAAGAAGAAAATGGTTTATCCCAAGTCACTGAGTAACTATGTATGGCCCAGGAACACTGACTCAGGTTTCCCTGAATGACACATTCCACTGTGGAAAAGGTGAACTTTTATAGACACAGAACAAAAGAAAGCCATATATCAATTTACTAATTACATGGGTGGTAGCATCAGGTTGGCAGGCTCCAAAGCCAGGAAATCTCTTTTATAGACACACAGATGTTATCTTATGGCACTCTTAGCTTTAGGCTAGGTGGAGGCTAGAAGGTTACTAAGTTTAGTGATCCATTCCAAGAAGTTTACCTATTAGGAAAACCTTAGGTCAGATAACAGTTAAAATAATTGGTTGTTAAAGGCCCCAAGATAGCCCAAGATATTTTTGGCTCTGGACCAACCACATTCCACCTCTCTACAATCACAATTTTCTATCAGCTGCACTCAAGCAGTCTGCAGGATCGTTAATGTAGATGAGGCTTCTCTGCTATGCTTTCAGTTGTTACATTGACGACTTTGTGCTGTGTTCCATCCCAGGGTCATATCCCATAATTTGTCCTTCAATTTTTGTGTGATTCAACACTTGTGCACGTTTCAGTCACAGCAACATCAACAGCTCTGCTTCAGTTTCGCTCTCTTCCTCCCCCTCCTAAGATGCCTCCACATGTTCCTTCAGTTCCTCATTTATTAATGCCTCTCTATGGCTTCCAATATGCCCCTGTACTTCCTCATCAGGCATGTCAGCAAACGCTTTTTCACCAACTTGTCTTGGCATGAGAATGATTTCTCTAGCTTTTCCACCCATCCCAGGTAAGCCTTTAAAGTCAGTCATGACTTTGTGTATTATACCAGTGGGCATTTATAGTTTTAGTTTTTACTCTGTTCATCCTAGTTTTGATGGATGTTATTACATAAGCAATAGTGAATGATTTCCAACCCTGTGTTGCACCCTGACTAAGGTGCCCAAATATGATCAAATATTAGGTTGATGGGTATGGCCTTTGACAAACCAAATAATACCTAGGTCAAAGGGCTGAGATGATGAGGTTGTGTTCAGAGGCAAGAATACAATTTCTATGTTTTCAATTTCATAGCACATTTGGGATGGCCAGGCAAATTATCTATTATTAACTGAACTTTAAATTCCAACTCTTTAATTTCCAAGTATTTTTCTCACTTCTATGATGAAGTAATGCTGGAATCGTTCTATAAACAAGACAGCTGTCACCCATGCCCTTTGATATTATTGCCAGAACTCAAATAGATTATTTTTGTTGTTGTTTCTTGGAGTGTGTGGGTTCTTTATGCCTGACTTGATCACATCCATATTTTAAAAATTATTTTATGTGCCTGCTCATTTGTATGTGCACAACATGCATGCAGGTGCCTGTGGAGACCAAAACAGTGTAGGCTCCCATGAGACTGGAGATATAAGCAGTTGTGAGCTGTCTGAAGTGGGTTCTGGGAACTGAACTCAGTGCTCTTCATGCTTGAGCCATCTCTCCAGCCCTCATATCTACATTTTTTATTTCAAACCTATCC